AGCCACGGAGCTCGAATGTTTACCGAGAAGTTGCTTAACTTCATCGTAATTAATGACCAACTGCTATCAGTTGTAGAAAACTGAAGATTTCACAGCTTGATACTTACAGCCAAGAGTTTACCCTCCAGGAGATATTTATCAGTACAACAATAGACAATCATAAAAAAACATATGAATTGAAAAATACAAGAAAAAAAAATATATAAAAAAACAGCTACGTTATAAAGTGATGTAAAATACTAAAAACAGGAACATGTCTGTGTTGGTTTATGCCCTGAACTTAGCAGATGTTTGAAGCCATTTAATCACTTTAATGTCCACTTTAAAGCTAGTAATAAAAAAAAACATGTTTTGTGTTAGCAGGATTAAATTCTAACTTTGAAACTTATCCAACATTAATAAAACTTACCTCATGTTGCCTTTTTGGACATGCATGCATATATTTGTACAAATTGTACTTGCCTGTAGAGAGGAGATTATTACAGCCTCATATAAAATCAATAACGATGATGATATCAGGACGGCATCGTCCGATATCCAGGTTTAGGTATCGGGATCAGATCTGAAGTTTAAAAATGTGGATCGGTGCATCCCTAATCAAAATCGACTTGAACTGGATACATGAGTGGGTGCTGCAGCACTCCCTGCACCCCTGCTTCGTATAGCCTTTAACATTCAGAGCTTCGCCACTCCAGATATTTGTAACTATTGTTCACATAAAAACCGAGTTAAACATGTCGTGTGGCAAAACTGAAGATTATCCTAAACCTTATTAATGATCAGTATATATATATATACATATATATACTGATCATTTCAGAGTTGAAAAGCTCTGCAATGTGCTTTTTATATGATTTATTTTTGTACCTCAAACTGTTTATGGACAGGAGGTACAAACACACCAAAAAACACAAACAAAAAACTATAGGTTGTAAAAATACATATGCAGTAGTGTGCATGAGGCTGAATACTTTAGTAAATCTGCTGCACTTTTTTCTTGTTGGACGATTTTCAGTCTGTTTTCCACTGTTTTTTGTATTTATTGATTGATTTATTTAGTATTTATAAGTATATTCAACAGTAAAACAGAGTGAGAGACTGTCTGAAAATAACGAGTTCCCACAATAATTACACAAAAAATTATAATTTCCCACAGTAAACACAAAAACATTCATGAGCAAAACTAATCTCTGTGGCACGAAGAGGAAAGATTAATATCGAAGCAGGTTTTTTCCTCTACAAGAGGACGTAGCAGCTCAGTCTTGGTAAACAGATCGGACCTGAATGGACGGAACCGGTTTGTTTACAAGTTCTGATCCAGATGTGGAGCAGAGGTGGCAGAGCTGCACACTGAGGTGTGTTCGTTTAAGAGACGCTCTGATGACTAACGCGCGACAAACAAAAACAATATTATTTCAGTTCGATGCTGGAGCACACGCACGAACAAGTCATTCACACGTCTATCTGTTTAATTGGAATTTGGCAGATTGTAGTAATTATGTTTTTTTACTAAATGAAAAGTGCTTTGCCCTTTTTCTATCCTTGACAACTAAAGCATCACCAGCAGAGGGATAAACAATCTTTATTTTTAACAGTTGTTTACTGGTTTAAAACCAGAAATGCATTTTTAAATGTGACATGTTCAGATCTTTGAGCAAACACGGAGAAATAGTTTAATTTATAGCTCTAATCAGACCACCATCTTAAAGTTCCTTACAAGAGCACCACCTGATGTTGCGGAGGATTATCTGCAACACGATTAAAGAACGGCTAAGACTAAAGGAGGTCGTGGATCTAAATTTTCACAGCCGTTCATGCAGACATTTGTAAACTTTTACAAAACCACACGTTTCATTTTCCAGGGTTATTTACACAAGATTTTATGTTTTCAAGCAGCAGCGTCAGCTAGCTGTAGCCAGGGCTTAATTTGTAAACCGATCGATGCTGGAACACAAATAGCGGGCAGGCCAGCGGTGGCCGTTGGAGGTGGGTAGGGGGAGTTGTCTGGAGATCTGAGGATCTTCCCGCAGAAAATTTTGAATGAAGTAGATGCAATTTCCTGCATTTTGGTGTATTTTAACAGGTTGTTAAACATCTAAGTTTACCTACATTTGTAAACACTCCACTTGTTTCGAGCATCCTACCCCCGCCCCCCTTGACGGTTCCGAGCCCGACACTGTCCCTGCTCGTCGTCGGACCACATGTGAAACCTCCAGGCGACTCCTCCGTCTGTTCATGGCTCCTGCCTGCGTACGGCCGCCTGGTTAGCTCTGCACTCACCTCCACCACTCTTTTAGGGGTGGAGATTATTTCAAGGGTAGAAGCAGAAATGTTTACTTGAAGGAGCAGCTCGTATGTGATATTAAAAAGTCGTAAGTGGCTGTTGTGTTTAAAATGAGTGTTTATGTAATTATTTTCAGTTTACGTATCCAGTACAAGTTTTATTTGTTCAAGGCAGTCAATTTGTTCATAACTTTATTATTAGTAAGCCTGAGAGTTACCGGATCCAAGCAAACAGTTACCGGAACGCACCCTTTCAAAATAAGAGTTCCCGGAACCTGTTCCGGCAGGATCTGCCTCAAATTAATCCCTGACCCGTAGCACTTCCAGTGCTAGCTGGAGCGCTTCTAGATGGAATATTTTATTTTTTGCCAGAGTTCCTGCGTAATGAGATACTGACACAGGTGTAAAGATTTATAGATTTTGCATTGATCGCTGTCAATTATTTCAAAACGGTTGCAATCCAGTTTAATCTTGGGTCCACTCAGGTTAACTCATCAGCTCCATTTATCCAAGCTGGCCGCTCAAAGAGCTAATATGTAGAACAGGTGAAACCCCACTTCAGAAGATCTGAACTAGCCCGTTAAGCTTTGTGAGCTCAAATGTTGTCCATGATTTTATGGCTGCTTGATATTTTAAAACTTGATGCAAGTGCTAACGTAACAAGCTACATGTGCGTCATGTCTGTTTCTGAGTGAGTGACAAAAACCAAACAAGTTTGTGTAAAAAGAAATGAGAAACTCAGGAGGAGCTCTTCGCTCATATCAGGTAAGTCTTTGAGGAGAGTCGACGTAAGCTAAAGCTAGCTGTAAATTTATGATTCAAATCAGAGTCTTTGTGTAAACGGATTGTTTCTGAGTGACGTAATGCAAACTACCCTTGAAATGAAGACGTGGAGCAGCATTTGTTAGGAGCTCTGAGGACTCTCCCCGTCCTCTGAAGACGGAGGAGGGGGTCTTTGGAACGTGCTGACAGCTTGTCGAGGACCTCCTACGACTGTTATGAATTTCATCTCTTTGTTGTGTGTGGCCCTGCCTCTCTGATGAGCGCTCGCACTAATTCTGTTACTCGTTGTGTTTGTTAGCTGGTGCACTGTCGACATGCTTTATAGCTCAGTGTGATGCTTCAGAGTCTGTAATGGTGAAATGTTTGAATTTGCACAACCTAATGATACGTCTAAGGTTAAAACCTGTTTCCAATCTGCCTCTAATCAAAGTTGGAAAAATTCACAGTTAAAATATTTTAATTGTTGCAGATTCCGTTTAGGAAAAGGACAAATGAGTGTGTCCATATATGATGTGTGCAAGTAGTTATAAAGTGAGAAACAGATTCATTATGTACATTATTCTTTAAAAACCATAAAATTGACAATAATGCCAAATGAAATGCAACTGAATAAATTAAACTGTACATCACAGGGATTTTAATGTTTGTAAAATAGCTGAAACATTCATTCAACCTTCGTTTAAACAGGTTAATCCCATTGAGCCTCAGACTCATTTACAAGAGAGACCTGATTCATAACAGAGTGATGACAGCAACGAATAACAACGACAATAGATAGTCATAAAATAGGCATACAAATTTAAGTTTCTCTTTTTTTTTTATAAATCGAAACAAAATGGCAACCAAAAAGACAATCAAGAGGAATAGCAGCAAAAAAAACCAGCTAGATCACAAGGCGATTTAGACAAGAGTCCAAGTTCTGGTCCAGGCAGTCAGAGGATCCAATCAGGAGAAATCAGTGAAACCTCCAGGATCAGACATCAAAGTTCACGCTCAATAATCCAGGAAAAAAAATCCAACTGGACGGTTTTTCTTTTATTTATTTATTTATTTATTTTGTTGTTGAAACGTTTCTTCTTTCATCCAGAGAACTTCATCAGTCCCAGGAGGCACAACTGATTATTGATTGATTGATATGAACAATAATTACTGAGCATGAACTTTGATGTTTTGAACCACTTCAGCCATGGCTGCCTCAGAGAAGTCAACGGGGGAGAGGGCGGGCTCCAGAAACCATCTTATCACCAGCAAACTGGTTGGTCCACTATGGGAGTGTGCTGCTTGTGGGACTGAGTTTGTTGTGGCTCCTCGGACTGATGAAGTCCTTTGGATGAAGGATGAAACGTTTCAACAACAAAAAACAACATTTGATTCATCCCTGATTTCAGTCTACATTTCGTGCGTGTGTGTGTGTGTGTGTGTGTGTGTGCGTGTGTGTGTGCGTGTGTGTGCGTCGACTGCGAGCACAATGCTGCCCTCTGCATTGATTTTTCTTCTGCCGTTTTATAATTACATCCCCTCTTTTTATTTGTGCCCCTTCCCTTTTTCGTTTTTTTTTTTTTTTTTATTCCATCTTTATCTCCTCCCCTTCTCACTTCTATTTTTCTAATTCCCACCCCCCGATCCATTTTTCTGCCTCACTGTGCCCAGGCTTGTTATCTGAGCTCTTTCTTTTTTCCCCGCATTTGATCTCAACTTCTTAATTTCCTTTCTCGTTTACGTCACTCGTCTTGGTTTCATTCTGCGACCTCCCTCACTTTTCATGGTCTGTCTGTTTGCTCCTCTGTTTTCATCTTATTGCTCTCAGGGTTTGTTTTTTTATACCAACTCTCATCTCCTTCCAGTGGGATCACATTCCTCCTCTTCCTGTTTGATTTCTAATGTTCTTCTATTGTTTCACGGGTGTTTTTCATCTGTTCTCTCTCTCTCTGCAGCCTCTCTGGAGTGCAGTCCGTCTTCACCGTAGTTTGATGGACCGGGCCTTCCTCGCTGCAGAACAACACACCCATCCAGACCTCTTCCTGAACCGATCAAAGTTCTTCGTCTCACACGTCGAGTCTTCATCCTCACTTTCACCAAAGACTGGTCTGAGAAAAAGAACCTGCCTTTTTTTATTTTTACTTTTTTTTTTTTTATCTCAGCCACTCCTGAAAGTCTCCCTCAGTGATTCCTCACAGCTTCCTACAGACATGACCAGGAGTCTCTTTCCTTTCTGGCTGCACCTCCTTCATGCACACGCACAAACCTTCAGCAGAATCAAAACATTTAAATCTGAAGGATTTTTTTGTGTTTGCACAACAATTCTACCATTTTCCCTTCTCTTCCACTTCAAACTGAGACTTGCAGAGTAATCCATTGTCCTTCCCTCTCCAACATCCTCTGTTAGCCCCTTCTTCTAGCACTTTAATGTCTTTTCTCCTCCGCACAGCCTCGTGGCGTTCTGAGCCTGGTTCTGCTCAGCTGAGGACTTTCTGCAAGGCGGAACAAAAGGCTGTCTACACGAACAACACGCTTCCCTTTCATTCCTCTTCATCCTTTGACTGTATTACCACAAAACACAAGAAAGGGACATATCTTACACATTATGTGTTTGAGTTTGTTCCCTCTTTCAAACGGACTGATAAAAAGTGTTAGACGACGCCTCGTGAAGTATCCATTCCTCTCCATGCCACGAGGATGAAGGAAAAACTGAACTGTGAAAACAAAAAAGAATAAAACTAGACTTGATTTGACGTCAGTTACCTTAGAGCAGGGGTGTCCAAACGTTTTCATAGGTGGGCCAGAACTGTCTAGATGAAAGGACTCATGGACCAGAAAAATCAGAATTTAAAGGAGAAAAAAAAAAATTCTCATATTTAACCAATTTACTATTTCGGAGAAAGGTTTTGTTTAAATTCTTGTAAATCCAGAATATTCAAAACCTTTATTTTTTTTATGTTTTTTTTTTTGTTTATTTTATTAGATTTTGGGGGGCTTCTATTTGTTTTCATGTGCTTTGAAAGTTCATTTTTGTTTATTTTCATAGACAAGAGACTCCGCCCCCTTTAAAAAGGAGGTGGAGCTTCAATCACCCATTTGGACTGTGGACGGCCCAAATGGGTCATCAAAGTTCTGATAAACAGCTGGCAGTCGCAAAAACAGATCCATAGAAGGCTTGAAGGGACACTGATAAAGTTGATCAACTTGTTTGCCGATGATACTTTATATTCTTTGAAAAATGTCAAATTTCTCGCCATCTATTATTAACTTAACTGAAATGATTTCCTTTCAAATCACTTGTTGTAATTAGCCAAGTTTTGTGAATCATTATCCAAAATTCTACTTTTTGGTAGATCAGTGAAGGTTGGTTGTAGGATAAGGGGATTAATTATAGATTTAAAAAAAAATTGTACTTAATTTCGCTCATTTTGAGAAGATTATTTTTATCTCTTGCTGTTAAACCTAAAAATTATATTTAAAAAGTATCACCATTAAATCTAAAGGTCTACATCTGCATCATCCTCTTAAGCCTGTGGGCCAAAATTATACCATTCTTTAATTGCAGTTGTGGACCGGACAAAATCACACCAAGGGCCACAAATGGCCCTCGGCCTGCACTTTGGACGCCCCTGCCTTAGAGGTCTGTGACAAAGCAATACAAGGGAGTTAAAGTTGGAGAAAACGGGGCTGAACGGCAAGGAGGAAACTCCCTCGGTGTCCCTAAAAAGCACGGTGGTTGTAGGTAAACTTAATCTGGCAACCCAAGAGGGGGCGATGACAGAAAGACAAAAGGAGACGGTGAAAATGGGCTCCGTGAACCAGGAAATGTTTTGACTTAACATCCGTCACTCTAATGAGGAGTGGGGAAAGATGGCGAGGTGCTTTAGATGACAAAAGAAGAACCTGTTTTCATTTCCTATCCCTCGTATTGCTTTGTCTGCTTTCTGTCTCGCTATTTTTAGAAGTTGTATTCCAAACGTGTAGCCGTGCCGTGAGCTGAAACTCATCATGCAAATGTTATTTGTCACTCGTATCTGGAAGAAACACCATATACTCTGTGTGTGTGTGTGTGTGAGGAGAACCTTAAACTTCCGCTGTAAATGTGAAAAATGGCCTCTCACTGTTGATATTAGAGACTTTTTGTCTGCATATAGCAGCACGTGTGTCTAATGAACCCAGACCGCCGTTAATCGTCTTCAACACGATGTGTCTGAAAGTGTAAATACATCACGACACCCCGTGTAACGACCTCTGTGTCCGCCACCTCTTTCAATGTACTGGAGAAGTATTTATCAAAAGCTCTTATCAACGCGGATGTAGCATGAGCTGTTGTCACGGTAACGACATTCCTTCTATCCTGGACGGGAGCGTTAAGCAGGTGCTGCAGGTGGAGGTGAGTTTTAATCCGTCCCTCTCTGTCCGGCCGTTCTTTGTTTGAGCAGCAGTCGTGGCCTCGTGTGTGGAGATTGAATCGTATCGATCAGTTCAGGAGACGAACGGTCGGCCCTCCCGGATCTTAAATCCTCTGCGTGTGTGCGTGTGTGTGTTGACTGTCTCATAGAAACGGAGGTGTTTTGGGTGGAAACATGAGTGGCTATTTCACAGTTGGGAGGAGATGCCATGTCCCTCAGTGCTCCGAGCAGGAAGGACGAGGACGAAGCAACTTCTTGATTTTAAGTCAGAAAACGTCCAAAACTTTGGAAAAGAAAAAATAGAGATGAGGTAGGAGAGGTAAAGAATAATCCAGCCTGGTACAACGTGCCGAGTACTTGTCCAACACATACCTTGTACTTGCCAGGTACACGTAGGTAAGTCTGGTACCTACTGAGTACGCGCCTGGGCTGTTTTGTGTATTGCTACCATAAAGGACAACGTGACTTCCATTATGGGATAAAAATGCTTGTGATGAGATTCTGACCATAGAAGTCACTTTTATCAATATACCTGTGTGAACATTTGAAGGTTTTGTATATGAAGTCGGGCACTAACGCTGAAGATTGTCTCTTAACACAATATTCACGTAACTGAACCATAAGCTGGCCGTCTGTTACCGTTGTAACTGAACCCCTGCCTACTAACGAGGTAGTACTAAAAACTGAACTTTTTTTCCTCAAACAGCTTTGACAAGCTACAATAAAATCTAATTACATACAGGAAAACACAAACGGTCCATGAAATGTGTGTCTGCCAAACCGCAGAAGGCCCAACTTCTGAATGTTTTGGTTTTCCTGATGTTGGAGGTGAAGGAGGTGAGAACAAACCGGACAGAGATGATCCGGGCAGAACACGACGGTGACGATTAATCAAGGAACACCACGAGCAAATAATCAGAAGGCCAATCTGTTGCTGTTAGCATGGATGCTAATGACAAAAGTTCAATCCAGCTAACAAACTAATTTTTGCTAACTCATCACACATACGTCACTAAAAGAACCACCAAATAATTTCAGCTAAGTGGGATTAATAACGAACTAATCAAGGATTAACGATAAACTCCTGATTGCATTTTGTTTATTAGTTATTAATTGAGTATTAGTTAATCACATATGAAGCCAAAAACAAGAAATCAAGACCTAATTGTGATGTAGCTCAGGGCTATTCAACTAAACTGCTCAGGAGGCCAAAGTTTCTGAAAGCCAACAGCTCGGGGGCCGGACTTCCAGCGATTAAAGTTATGTAAATAAACCAAAGTTTACAATGATCTGTTACCTTTTAAATTTGTTTATTTTATTGCAATGAATCATAAATGCAATAAACAGAACCCAAACCCATAACCCCCCCAAATATAT